TTTTTTTTTTCTTAATTTCTCTCATTTTTTCCACCGCAGTAAAAAATTCGTAGGTCTATTGGCAATGAGTATGGCGAAGATCAACAAATATAGCGTGGTAGTGTTTTTTGTGCATGCAATAAAAAGGACGTGGTGTGTGCTTTGCTGAACAACACAAGTGTATTACTACAAGTAAGAGCAGTGAGCAGCAGATGAACTTGCCGCAGTTGTTTTCCTATTGTTTTGCCCATTTAGTTAGTTGTGAACGCACGCAGCTTAAAGGAAACATGGATTGAACTTCAGCTGAAAAAGATCAATATAAAACAGATCAAAACAAATATGGCTTTTCTTGCAGTGTGCGAAACGCCACCGAAATCAGTTACAGCTTTGGTTTTGACTGATTTTGGAAATATTGAACAGCAAGGTTTCTGATTTCAAAATCATGATTCAGCGCCCAGTTCTCTATCAGTGTAGTTTCGGAAACTGCTTTTTTTTCTGAAAGTCGTTAATGCACTGACGCTGCTAAAAAACAAAATATATAACATTCTTCAGTAAAAAACTTCTCAACGGACTTTTTAAACAGAACTGCACTTGTTCAACGGATTCACATGGCTTTTTAGGATTATAGCAGCTGAATTCTCATGAAATGTTGCATGTGGTTACAAAAAGTATTAATGTATGACAATCATTTCAAGAGAACCCAATAAATAAATGAAGCTGATAAATATCGGAAATTTTTCACACTCGTCGGTACTGGTGCAATATCAAATGCGTAGAGACCGAGCAAAATTTGCATCAGAAAATCCCAAATAAGTAATTTTTTTTCGATTTCTCTACAATGCTTTTGTGAGCTCTTGGGCAGCCTTGAAACTGAACTTCGAATCCTTTAATTCACGATTCAAATCTTTCGCTTAACTTTCAACACAGAAAGTTCTTCAGCAGTTGCGCTGTGGGGAGAAAATTAAATTCAGATTGTTTTTGAGCAAAAATTATAAAAGCGTGTATAACAAACGTATCAAAAATATCAAAAAGTGAATGGAAATATTGGAAGGCGCTGAATTACAAAAGTCTTTGTGGCATGTGCACAAATGCACTTGGTCCGTGCTCTCAAATAAATACCTGCAAAAACATCAGGATTTTATCGAGCCAGTTACTAATTCTCAAAAATTAACCAAAACGCGACGTCATGTATGTTAAAGAATTATGCACCTTGAAGTCAGTCTCAAAGAAAGCACACCATGACAAGAGAAGTTGATTCGATTCTTCCTTTATCCTCAGCTAACTAGTTACAAATTTCTCTTGATTAAAACTTGGTGCCCACCCTGGTGCTGGTCTGCATCGAATAAGTTAGGTTGGACAATATGCGCTGCAAATTTTGATCACTCGATTTTTGCCGCAGTAAGAGTTAAGCTCAGCTACGCTTCACTACTGCCAAGTCATCCGTTGTTGCTAGTTGACTATCGAGCTAATTAAAAGGTGAAAAGCCTGTTCGCATTCTTTTGCTGTGAGAGGCGGAGGCAATTGCTGCACGCACTAAGAGCAACAACCACACTAAGAGCAACAACCTAAGGTTCTCAGTGGTTCTTTCTTCCGAGGGCTGCTTAAAAACAAGCTGATAGCGGACTTCACTCCCTGGCATGTTTAGATTCGCTGTGCTTCGAGAGTGCCTAGCCCCTAGCCCTTTGCCATCCTCAACCCCGACAAGGCAATTACGTCGAAATTATTATAGAAAGAAATTCATCCGATACGAAGAACATACCTTTCCGTGGAAACAAACAAGTCGCGCAGTCTGACAGCAGCACATGAATCGCTATCGCTTAATACAGTCAGTGACTGGTTGTAGTGCATGATGTCGGACATGCATCCGCGCAAATAGCCTTCCCGTCGGCGTCCTAAATTCATTTAGAGCATTACTTATTGTGTTCTTACTAAAAAAAATCAAGCGTTTTTGCGCTAGATTGCAATGTTCAGATCGTAACAGCATAATTCGTTCCTACGTTGCATTTAACGCATGTACAAAAAGCTGCCTCTATTCTGGCTATCATGGGGTCGCGTAAACTTAAACCGCGCATGATTATCAATTTTTGCATGAAACCCAGTCGTTTTTTCAGTGAGCGGTCGCTCAACAAAAAACGCAAATTTCACAATGCACAGGATGTGGGAATAGAAAGGGAAGGGAGGTGAGGAGGGTGCAAAGTCTGCAAAAAGCACTCGCTTTTGAGTTTGCGATAAAATTCAATAATTCTCCTGTCCCTGTGCAAGGAAATTTAACCTCCAGGTTATATTTAGATCATATCTGAATACAGAATATCCTCGCAAAGCTACAGTTTTGCAGATTGTCCGGTAAGCGAAATAGCCACTTCGCTACAAATATCTTTGAAGCGCGGTGAGTCGTAGTGCAAATGCAAGTCGAAACTCGTTTTAAGTATATGTTTCCCAGATAGACGATAAACATTCTAACAAAAATTCTGCATCTGCTTTCCTGCGAGTTCTCGAGCTGACAAATTGCCAACTGTAAATTTGGACATAACTGTATGCGTCGTATAAAATTGCGCGATAGCTGAATTTGAAATTTCAATCACGCGCAAGTATATCCCTGCGGAGTTCCAGCTTTCTATTTTGTCTGGTTCCCGAAATCGTTTCCTGCCAAACAAATTTGTACATTTTTTCGAGGGTGCGTACGCGAGATCTAAATGAAAAGGGTATCCCCCCTTCCCCTCCTCCAAAATTTCAGCCTTCCAGATTTCCTGGCCGCTGAGTTGAAAGTGGATGATGAAGTTCATTCGCTTCCGAACGCACACGGGCGAACTCTTGACAACATATGCGTCTTTGCTTAATGTAGCAGCGATACAGCGCTATCAATTTCAATTTTTTAACAAAGGCTGGAACGCACCAGGCGAGCCGGTGCGATCATGCGTTTTTGCATCAAAACT